TCGTGTTTCGTCATTCATGCAGGCAAGGGTAAAAGGTACCTTTATAAATTAACATTTAAGAATTAAAGTTCTAAAAGGAAAATACTAAAGAAGTCTTTTGAAAAACAAGCAAGTAAAGTCAAGTATTAAATTAAACGTTTTTAAAAAAATTTAAATTTTTTAAAAAATAAATTTTTTATAAAAAATAAAAAATAATCTAGAAACCAATGTATTTTAGAAATCCTTGTCTACAGAAACCTCCCCGACACGAATATGCATATCAATAAAAAGAAACTAAAAAAGAACTAGACATAATCTGTATAAACCAATAAGAAACAAAAAGAACTAATTCACAATTTTTAAAAAACAAATATAAATTTTAAAATATAATTTCATATTTAGAAAATACTTAAATGCTACATAAAAAATTTTAAAAAATACTTAAAGCAAGTAAATAGTAAGTTTTAATTCTAACTTACCTACTATATGAGTGTTGGGGTCTGCAAAAGTGTTGTTAAAGAGAAGTAAGTGTGTTCTTCAAATTATATAGATGGCATTTATGTAGGTAAAGTGGAGTGTCAAGCTGCTATCTTTGTTATATTAAAAATTTTTTGTAAACATTAATATTAAAATTAAATTAAAAATTAAAAATTCTAAAGGTAGTAATTATCAATTATTTAGGGAGTTAAGCCAATCAAGAGATGTAAGTTTGCTTGAAGGAAAATAAAGTTAAGTGGTATTGTGAATTAAAAAATGTAAACTGTTTGTAATGTGAAATGTGTGTTCTGTTGAAAAATTGTGTAAAAATGGTAAATAACATTAAGTGAAAAATTTTATTGTGTGAAAATTGCAAATAATTAAAGTAATTAAGTAAAACTGAAATGTTTTAAAATTAAAGTTTAAAAGTAAAAATTCCCTAAATTTTTTGAAACGAAGTCCTTAAAAAACCTCTAAAAAATTCCCAGAAATTTCCCAAAAATTCCTTAAGGAAGTTAATTAAAAGTTATATTTAATGAAAGAAAATATTAAAAGTTTAATGAACTTGATTTCAATTGGTATATCAAAACTTAACTAAATACTGGCTAAAGTATGTAAAATTAGAAGAAGAAGATTTAAATCTTCACCCAATTCAGGCTATAATTGAGACTTTTGAAAAGAGTTGGCCCTTTTTTAGTAAAAGGAAAGAATCCAGTATTGATTAAATATACATATTTACAAATTTATTTACAATAAAAATTTACAAGATAATTTCTTTACTCTTCTATATCCTTCATTACCCTCCAGCTAAGGTTTAAGGTAATGTTATCGTATCCAAAAGAGCCAAAAAATCATAAAAAAAAGTCAATGCCTGCCTTTTTAATATATAAATTAATAAATTTTGGTGGTACTTGGTTATCAACTAGAACATTAATTAGCTTTATTATTTCTTCTTTTAAATCGTCTATTTCAGTACATATATTTTTAATTCTGATTATTTGGCTATGAAACGTGTTTTCTATTACTTTTCTAGAGATATTAGAGTTCCAATTAAGTAGTTTAATAGTATGAAAATGGAAATTCCTTCTTTTATCAAATAATTTAATTTTGCTGTGCTAATTTGCAGGTCTAGGTATTCAATAGTATCTTGATTCGTATTCGTTTTATTAAGTGTTAAACTATTTGGGTAAATTTTGAATTGCTTAAAAGTAGAATTATTATTGAAAGTTATAATATCATCTATGTATCTAAAAGTATGAGCAAATAGCTTTAATTCATTTTTATTTAAACTTAGTTGGAATTTATATTCAAAAGTAAAAAGAAATAGGTTACAAATTTGTGTAGAACTGTTTGCTCCCTCTAACTTGCTGAAAGATCTTATTATTGAATTTAATATATAAAATTAGTTATTAAATAATGCACAATTCAGATAAGTATTCCATCTTTCAATAAAAAGGATGTCATGTATGTCAGGAAAAAGTTGTGGGAGTTGCATTAAACTAGTAAAAATTTCTTCTAATGGTAGAGAAGTATAAAGGTTTTCAAAGTCATAGCAGTAAATGTTCTTGATTGTTAAACTTTTAAAACTGCTGAGAACTGGAGCATTATTATAAATAATCCAACTATAATTGTGTTGTTTGTTAACGAGTTGTTGGATTAAATTACAGATTTTTTTTAAGTATAATTGCAAATATGTAATCTATATTCTTTTTGTAATTATTTGTACCATTAACAATAAATCTAAATTTGAGTGGTGATTTATGAAATTTTGGGAGAGCATATAGATTTGCTAATCTATTGTAGCTAGATGGTTGTGAAATTTTCAGTTTCTTATGAAATGCTTTTAGCTTTTTTGGAATAACATTTTCTTGTAGATTGGTGAGTTTGTAAGTAATGGCATTATTTAGTTCAGTATTAATTAATGAGACATAAAAAAATTTTCATATTATGCTAAAGTTATTATTGGCTTTGTCAATTTTGGTACTTTTGTTTTAAATCCTGTAAAAGAGGAATGAGAATATTCCACTGTAAATTGCTATCAAATTCAATTCTTCGAATTCTTTGCTTGAATTCTTCTAATATTGCATGTTTCCAAGCCATAAAGGTAGAATTTGGAATATTTAATTTGAAACTAGTTTTAACTATAAATTCGTCTATATTTTTTATGAATCTTTTAAAACTGTGATGTTTGTTAATTTTTAGTACTGGTCTAAATTTGGTACCTTTTTCCATTAAAATTCTTAACACACTTACTTCTCTTTAACAACCCTTTTGCAGACCCCAAAACTCATATAGTAGGTAAGTTAGAATTAAAACTTACTATTTACTTTGCTTTAAGTATTTAAATTTTTTATGTAGTATTTAAGTATTTCTAATATATAAAATTATATTTTTAAATTATATTTGTTTTTTAAAAATTGTGAATTATTTTCTTTTGTGTTTCTTATTGGTTTATATGGATTATGTCTAGTTCTTTTTTAGTTTCTTTTATTGATATGCATATTCGTGTCGGGGAGGTTTTCTGTAAACAAGGATTTTTAAAATACATTGGTTTTCTAGATTATTATATATTTTTTATAAAAAATTAATTTTTTAAAAATTTATTTTTTTTTTTAAAGTTTAATTTAATACTTGACTTTACTTGCTTGTTTCTCAAAAGACTTCTTTAGTATTTTCCTTTTAGAACTTTAATTCTTAAATGTTAATTTATAAAGGTACCACTTTATTGGTATTTCTTTTTACTTTTGGTTTTGACTTTTGGTCTAAACTGCATGAATGACGAAACACGAATTGAATGATTGGAGAGTTAGGTTTGGAGGCAACTTCCCCTTGATAAGTCTGTCTCCTGCCTACTCAACAGTCATTCACTTATGCATTTAAAAAAAAAAAAATTGTTTGGTTTAATTTTAATTTGCTAAATTAGTGAATTTATTGTCATGGATTGGTTTTGCACTTGATTTGCTTATGCTTCTGAATTTAAATGATATTTTAGATTAATTCGAGAATTAAATCTTTTATATGTTTGCACATTTTTAAAAAAATTATTTTGGTTTTTTTCTTTATTTTGGCTTTAAATTTGCTTTTTTACGTGTTTGTTAAAATTTAAATTTAGATTTGTATAAATATATTTATATATGTTTGGTGTGGCCAATTGCAACCAAAGTATGAGGTGTACATCTACATGTTACAGCAGTCCTATATACAAAATTTCAACATTCTGAGGCTACTCGTTTTTGAGTTATGCGAGATACGAACGTATGTACGCACGCACATACGTACGTACATACATTCGTACAGACGCCATGAAAAATTCTCTTCAGAATTAATTTTAAAGCAGTTTTATAATTTTTTTAGAGGAAACGAGTCTTTTATTCTGTCTTTACGTACAGATATCACGCAAAAACATCGTTAAATTGCATTCAATAGCGGTCAAAATGGATATTTTCATTGAAATATGCTGTCTGAAACTTTTCGCGATTACAATACTTCCTTTTTACTTCGTACAAGGAAGTAAAAAGAGTCCCATCATTTAATCTTGTTAGAAAAAAGGCACTGCATTATGTTTTATGAAAGTAAAAGTTTTGTTTTTTACTGTTCAAGTAAAATGCAATAAATAAAAACAAATTCCTTTATTTGTATTGTAGTAAAGGCTTATTTGGTCAATACACTTATCTAGACTTCTGTTTAATATTTGGTATGGACCACAGTCTGATTGTCCAGGTTCTACTGTGCAGAGCCTGAGTAAGGCAGGGGATCTGGGACACTTGTCAGAGGGAGCCTTAAATTGAATAGAAAGTTTGTTTCCTTCATTAATGAACTTTTTTTAAGCTTTTCTTTAAAAGCTTTGTAGCCTATTCTCTAAATTAAAGGACTTGCCTATTGTATTTTTCGTTAATTAATTCAAATTATTAAAAAAGTTTTTAAGTTTTCTAATTATAAATTTAAATAGCATTTTTGTCAAATTTTGGCTTTTCAGATGTGCTATATCCTTTTAATAATGGACATAGAATTGTCAGAAAATCAATAAAATGGACAGAACAATATTTCATCTGACCATTGGGGGGAGGGGACTTAATAGCTATCTTAGGTTCTAGAGTCAGATTTTCTTACTATGTATCAATAATGAGGTAAAAAATTTAAATGCCTCCATAAAGTTCAGTTCTTCATTACTGAAGTAGTGAGGCAGAGGGGGGCCCCAAAGAAGTTTTTGCCTCGGGCCACAATTAGGCTAAGTCGGGGCATCAGTAATCAGGTGAAAATTTAAATACTTCCATAAAGTTCAGTTCTTCATTACTGAAGGAGTGAGGCAGATGGAAGCCCCCAAAGAAGCTTTTGCCTCGGGACACAATTAGGCTAAGTCGGGCTCTGCTACTGTGACAACGAATTTAAATGCAATTGTTTTATTGTCATCTATAGCAGAGTTATTTTTCTTTCTTTTGTTTTTCATTTATATATTTAGTCATACTGTAAATTATATTGTAAAATTTTAAAGAATGCTTACTAAGATTTAAGAACAATATATTGTTACCCATCTTTTTTTCCAGAAAGCTAACTTGGGTACTGTTGCAGGCGTTTATCTACCATGCATTCAAAATATTTTGGGAGTTATTTTTTTCATTCGAATGGGGTGGATTGTTGGAACAGCTGGTGTCCCTCTGGCTTTTGCCATAGTTTTCTTATCATGTTGTGTTGTAAGTATATTTATGAATTCAAATTTTAATAATTTATGCAACTATTGCATTTACATTTTGTACACTGATTGCTGATAAATGACTTGGTTATTTATTTTCATACTATTCCCCTTTTCTTGTATCTTGCTTTGCAGCTGCAGGAAAATCTCATGAAGTACAGTTAGTTCATCTATAATTTACTGAACATTAGACAGAATTGCATTAAGTAGGTGTAGCACATAATAAGAATAATTACAATTTTTCTATCAGTTAAGTTTAGATCTGGGAAAAAAATGAAAATTATTTTAGGGGATGTAAATATCAAAATGAAATGAGTCTTTTATGATATGAAAATAGCATTTCATGAAAATATATGATTTTGTTGGATGATTTAGTGTATGTAAATACGAGGGTTGAAACTTTAATACAGTCAAAAGTCGTTAATTCGGACACCCATAATTCGGAATGATCTATAATCCGGACATCAAAACTAAAAACTTTCTGTGCATGCGCCGCGTTGACACATGCGCATAGGCATTTACACGTGCGCGTAAGACCTTTTACGACTGCGCATATCAGTGTGCGCAAGTGCAGTATACGCTTTCGCGTGCGCGTTTTATGTATAATGGACGTATAAGCTCAAATTATCTAATTATCTATTTCAGTTAATGTTGATGATTGCGTTGTTCCTTAATTTTCGAATTGGATCCGTCTTATTATTTTTTGCAGACTGTAAGAGCAATTTTATAAAAGTAAGCTTAAACTTTCGATTATATCAAATAGAATTTCCGATATATATTTGTTAATATGTAAAGGATCTAAAGCGAAAGTATGTTTTGAAATCCGAAATCTGTTTATCAATTTCACGCTGCTCGGCGGGGGGAACGCCGCGCCGCGGCGGGCGCATAATGAATTGGAAGTTGATTTGTCAGCACTATCCTTATCTTCAGCGCAGATGTTTTTATTTGGCTTATAATTCCTTACCAAATGTAGTATTTCATCTCGATATGATCCGTTCTTTGATATGATTTAAAACAAGTTCCTGGTCATTATAATTCGCTTCCCATAGCAAAAAAAAGTAAGAGAGGTTATTGAAAACGAAAAAATTTCGATTGACAAATTAGTCAGTGTTCTTGACACAGCAATTATAGGACTTGAACAGCGGAACTTTGTAACTGAACAAGAAATTATGTCTGTTTAATAGAATTAAAGAGAAAGTATTATCACATGAAACGAAGCAAAACTTAAACAACTTACATTAAAAGAAATGTTTAATAAAGTAAACAAATAAATATTTAGCTTTTTCTTTTTGCAAATTTTGATACCCTTAGATCATAATTGTTCTTTATTTCATAAATTACGGTTTCATATTTTTAATTTTAGAATTTCTGCATGCCATCTTACGAGATTTAAACTGATGATCTATAATCCGGAAAAATCGATAATCCAGAATCGCCGAAGTCCCGACGAGTCCGGATTAACGACTTTTGACTGTAGTGGCAACACAGCTGAGAAAATGCTACGCAACAAAACCAAAGAATACCGCGTATACCAAACGTGAACTACATACCTACCTTACCTCTCAGCAAAAAGACTCGTCCTGCGTATGTCACGCGCATGCGGAGTGACGCGAAGAACGGATCCTTGTATTAACTCGCGGTCTAAAGTAAGTGTTGTCAGGATGTTTTCAAAACAAGAACAACAATGTTGGATAAAAATTGAATGTGCCAGAGGTCGTACAGCACGTCAGTGTCATCAAGGGCTTCAAGAGGCTAGCGAGGAATCTGCATTGCCTTACAGAACCGTAGCAAGATGGGCGAAAGCATTCAATGAAGGACGCCAAAACGTGGCAGACATGCTGCGGCCAGGTCGTCTGAGTGTCAGCGATGCAGACGTGCAAGCTGTTGCCGCACTAATGGACAGTAATCGACGCCAAACGATTCGTCAGCTGGCCGGACAAACAGGATTAGCGCATGCGATTGTGCTGCACATTCTGAAGGAATGCCTGTCCATGAGAAAAATTGCTTCACAATGGGTTCCACGTCAATTGACAGAAATGCAGAAATGGCTATGATACGATGCTGCCCCAACCCACCTGAGGCGCTATGAGCACGAAGGAGATGCTTTTTTACGCCGTATCATTACGCTGGATGAGACTTTGGCCCGATCATACCAACCAGAACTGAAACACCAATCAAACGAATGGCGTCATCACGGGTTACCATGACGTTCGAAATTTCGTCAGAACCACAGCAATGTGAAAGTTATGGTGATTCTCATGTACGACTGTGATGGTGTCATCCTAATGCATACCGTTCCCCCACAGCAGACCGTCACTGCGCAGTATTACTGCTCATTTTTGGAGCACAATCTCCGACCAGCTTTGAGAAAAAAACGGTGACACTTTCTGCAGAATGCTTCTCTCATTTTGCATGACAATGCTCGGCCACATGCAGCACAAGCTGTGACTGATTTGTTCAAGCGACGGGGCTGGGAAGTGCTTTACCATCCACCGTACTCCCCGATCTAAGCCCTTGTGACTATGACTTAATTCCTAAGATGAAGGAACCACTTCGTGGCACTCGCTTCCAAACTGTTCCTGAGATTCTTGCGGCAGTAGACCGGTCCATTCAAACTATCAACAAAACAGGCGCTGCTACAGGTGTTCTGCGACTTCCACATCGTTGGAAACGGGTTGTACACAATCCTGGCGACTATAGTGAAGGACTGTAAAACATGGTGACATGAATCAATCACTTTTGTATTCCTTGTAAATAAATAGTTGCTACTATTAAAGTTCCAACCCTCGTAATAAGGAAATTTAATAGAGACTTGCAAAATAAAGAAGACATTCATTAATAAAACACAAACATAGTGTTGGTTCAAACTAATTTTATTTCAAATTAGAAAATAAAGAAAAGCACATACTAAATAACTAATTAATAATATAAGAAAATGTAACTGTTAAAGTTTCGAATATCTTGGTAAGTTAGTAATGCATTAAGTCATTAACTTGATATTAATATGATATTTGATCATTAACATTCTCTGATAAGTTATTAATTTTTGTCATGTATTCTAATACATGTCATGGCAGCACTGTGTTGTTTTTTACATGCTCTCAAGTGAGCATATCTCTGGATTTGCTTTTTATTATAAGTTTTACAGAAGCCTGTTCACACAGGTATGTTGACCTAGAAAATGCTTTTATTGTTAGTACAGACATTAGTATGTTTTTGTATTTAAAAGGATCCCTTAGTTTAGAAACTTCATCAATATTATTTTATATGCTTTTGAGTGTTATATCAGTAGAAGGAGTAATAATATCTAATTCAGCCTCCGATTTGCTAATAAAACAAAATTTTTCCATTCATGGAATCACTTCTGTTATGCCTAATTTCAAGAAAGGATTTTTTTTATGAACAATAAAGGATTTCATAGAAAACATGTCTTGGAATCTTCCTTGAAATTCTGAGCTAATAACAGAAGACATGTTTCAACACGTTTAGAAGGATCATATTCCAGCATAAATTCCAGGACTAGAATGAGAGTAAATGACTGAAAATAATGGTCTTTCTCCAATAGGTTGTTTTTCCACTAATTGATTTTAACCGGAAAAGCAGATACTGAGCTCCATCATTTTTAAAACATGTTTTCCTTTTCCTTATTATGCCATATTTAGGTCATTGAGTTTTGCAGTGCTATCGGTTAAAAATGCCAAGTCAGCGAGCCCTCCATGTCATCAGTTTTTGTTCATAATTAATTGTCTTTTGATATGAGAAAATTTTTAATCTCTGCCAGCGTTTCAAGAAATCTTGTTAAAAACCTTTCGGCCACCTTACTTCTGCTTGGTAAATAACATCACCCTATCTACTATTAGCTCATCAAGCAAAGCTTTAAAAAGTTGATGATTCAAAGGTCATCCTCAGGTAAAATTTACAATGTGTACAATAACAGTCATTATGCGATTGAAGTTGAGCTGTTTAGTGGCCAGATTTTCTTGGTGAATGATGTAGTCATATGAAATACACTTGGAAAATGTGTCATCCTGCTTTTACAGAGCCCAATATACCCAGTGTTATTCCTGATCATAGTGGTGCACTGTTGGTTGTGACTGCAGTGAGTTTTCTTATTAATACTTTCTCTTTAGTATTATAATTTTTAACTGCGTCATACATGTCTTGCTCTCTAGTATGTTTTTCGAAACAAGAAGTCAACATGAATACTTCTGTGTGATTCTTTTCTTCATTTTTAAGGTTTAAAAGGCTACTTTGTTGAGTTTTAGAGAGAGTTTCAAAGATTAAACTTTGTCTACATTGGGCAATATTACTATTTACCATTGAAATCCTTATGAATGGTTTTATAATGATGTTCAACATTTGATTGCTTTGGTACTGCTACTGAAGTTTTGCAGAATAAACTAACTGCTTTTTGCCAATATTTGTAAATAATAGATCTTCATACTATTTGTTGTTGAAGTGGAAGGGTTTCTTTCTCTACGATAGCCACTTCACTATGTCGACAAGCACACTGTAAAATATATATAATAATTAAAGTGTTGCTTTAAAACTTGCGAGAAACAGCACAGATTTGTAGTCATTACAGCAAACTTTTATAAATTTTTTTCAACTGAACTGATGACTGACAACCATCAACTGCATAAGTAGATGGATGATTCATTCTTTATGCGTTGTGCAACTAAAGATAGCAAGCACTGTGGGCTACCAGGAACCCATGAACCACCAGTTGGACACTACTGGTTTACATATTTGTTTAAATTGTATTTTTGCAGGAACGTTGAATAGAGATACAGGGGTTGGACAAAAATATGGAAACACCTTTAAAAAAACATGTTTCTTTGCTTAATATGGTGTAGGAAACCCGTTGGCATCCAAAACAGCTTGCAGTCTTCTCGGAATGGATAAATACAGTTCCTGTATGTTTGCCAAGGGAATATTATACCATTCTTCCTGCAAAACGGTGGCAAGTTCAGATAACGATGTTGGCGGTGGATAATGAGAACACACTTTCCGTTCCAATGTAGACCACAACGGTTCGATAACATTCAGGTCTGGTGACTGTGGTGGCCAGGGGAGATGGGACAACTCATCCTCGTGCTCAGAAAACCAGTCCTGGACAATGTGAGCTGTGTGTGAACAGGGGCTTTTGTCGTCTTGGAAGACACCATCACCATCGGGGAACAAAGTTTTGTACCATGGGGATGAACTTGATCGGCCAAAATGTTCACATAATCTTGGCAGTCATGTGCCCTGACACAGTTATCGTGGGGCTAGCAGAGAACCACGATATGGCTGCCCAAACCATAACAGAACCCCCCGCCATGCTTCACTCTTGGCAACAAGCAGTCTGTATTATAGGCTTGAGATGGTGTTCTCCAAGACGTAAACTCGGCCAGAAGTGAGAAACAATGTGAAAGAAGACTCGTCAGGCCATATTAACTCGCTTCCACTGCTCTATAGTTCCAGGCTTTAATGACTTAAACCACCACCTTTTCCTGCTACGGGCATTAGCATCACTGATGAGTGGCTTCTCAATTGCGGCACGGCCAGCAATTCCCTGTTTATGAAGCTCCCTTCTAATTGTTTTGGTACTCACAGGGTTTGGTAACACAACATTCATTTCAGCAGTAACTTTTGCAGCTGTGGTCTTCTTATTTTTCGTCACAATTGCCCTTAATGATCGTCTGTCACGATCACTCAGGAGACACTTTCGTCCGCGCTGTGATTTAGCAGATGATGTTTTTCCGCTTTTCAAATATGCGGAATAAATCTTCGATACAGTTTCGATACAGTACCTCTTGAAACACTAAACACCTCGGCTACCTTGCTTACGGAAGCACCTACCATACGTGCTCCAACAATTTGCCCACGTTCGAAGTCTGTTAACTCTGACATAATGCAATGACAACCTCACATAACAGTACTCCGACAACAACTGAACTGTTTAGCACATTTACGAAGTTGTATAGGTGGCGTCAGTAGTCAAAAACGCCAGCGCCCCCTACATATTTCATTAAAATCAATCTTTCTTTTCAAACATGCATTTCACAAGGTGTTTCCATATTTGTGTCCATCCACTGTATATCAATACTGCCTTTTTAAAAAGAAAAATAAAAAAAGTGCAAGGCAATCACTTATTCATTACTTATCATTGTATTATTCTATGATTTATCACAGTATCATTTTATGTTTTCAGTAACAGGATTGGCATCAAACAAAATTTTCTTACCATGCTGAATAAAATTGTAAAGTAGCTTTACAGTTAGTTCATTAATCTGATCCATTTTCAGTTTGAAATTAAATCTACAAACTAATGTGAATCGATCATTTTTTCTTGTAAAGAGAAGGGATTCTGCTTTTTTAATGCTTGATTTTAGGTATTGAAATTATTTAAAAATATTTCTTTTACCATTTATAAGTATTAAAATTCTGTTGCAGTATCTGTATAACAAAATATATTAATCTTTAACATTAAACAGTTGCTTAGAAATTTACTTCAGTAGCCTGCTATCTTTTTTAAAAAAAAAAATTAATTTAAAAATATTGCTGGATATATGACAGAATTTTCCCTGCAAATGAACAAGAACATTTTATTTAATGAATAAAAAAAAAAAAAAAAGTCTAATTACTGGTCAGTTAGTCATGTAAATCAGGAAATGGTATTTTGCTAAATTGTATTAACTAATTACATGCATTTAATTTGCATTAAGCAGTGTTTGCATGTAGGCGTAAGGTAGAATAAAAGTAAATAATAAAACGTAAAAGTGCAGAGAAAGTTAAAAAACGTGACACATCTGCATCCAGCAAATAATATATTTTATTGATAAGTGATGTTTGACAGAGAAAATGTCATCTCATGCATTGCCATACATATTGCAGAGTGAATATACACATGCAAATTATGCAAATGAATAAAATTTGTGCCCAGTCAGTTGATCAGTGCATGTGATTAAAGCAGACAACAAGCATGCAAAGCCATCATTTTGAGATGACATCATAGCTGCAGAAAGTATTTATTTTTGTTGCAACTATATTTGGACAACGAGCTTGAAATGCTTGTCGTATACAATTTCTTCAAATGAATGGGTTCAAAAGTAATTTCTTTATTCTTCAGGCTGCCACGTTTTCAACAAACAGAATACCGAATAGGCATTTTGACAGTTTTCCCTGTCTTAAGTATGAGCCACATAAGTATGAGCCAGGTTCTCTTAGATATTCCTCCCTGAAGATATTCTTCCCTGTAGACAAATAGTTCTCGATTTGCTTTGCCTTTATCCATTTACCTCTTGCATTTGGAGACTGCAGGTAAATGTATAATATGGTAGAGAGTGCTTAATGGTTATTTTTATTGATATGCTGAGGTCCCAGCTGTTTGTATACAAAAATATGGAGACCTTTTTTTTTTATTGTGATCAACAATTTGGTTAATATAATCAAACTATTATAGAATAAAGTCACCAGATAAGATTAAAAAGGATTATAAAAATTGCCAAGTGACAGAAATATCACTGTGTGAAGAGTTAAGTTGCGAGCAGCTTGGCTTTGATTTCATTCAACCATTTAAAATTAAGGAAAAAACAGCTGTAGATTTTGAATAACTATCAATTGGCATGTTCTCTTCCATTGATGGATGCCTTCCAGATATTAAGATTAAGAGTACAACATTATCAAAAAAGAAATGTGTACATTATGAACAGTTCATATATGAATTTTTGCATGAAAGACGTTATGAGCAGTTCAAAAACAAACTTTTGCAATTTTCCTAATTGAAATGTTGTGAAAATACCTAGCTATGTGTTTCTTGATATTTTTCTATTAAATTAATTAAATTACAGTACAGTCAAAAGTCGTTAATCCGGACTCGTCGGAACTTCGGCGATTCCAGATTATAGATCATCAGTTTAAATCTGGTATGATGGCATGCAAAAATTATAAAATTAAAAATATGAAACCGTAATTTATGAAATAAAGAACAATTATGATCTAAAGAGTATCAAAATTAAAAAAAAAAAAAAAAAAAAAAAAAAAAAAAAAAAAAAAAAGCTCAATATTATTAAACATTTCAATGTAAGTTGTTTAAGTTGCTTTGTTTTATGTGCTAATACTTTCTCTTTAATTCTATATAAACACACATAATTTCTTGTTCAGTTACAAAGTTTCGCTGTTCAAGTCCTGTAATTGCTGTGCCGATATTACCGACTAACTTGTCAATCAAAATTTTTTCGTTTTCACTAACCTCTCTGTCACTTTCTTCATGCCTTTATCCATTTTTCGCAGCAATTCCACTTTTTGTTTGAGGGACATCGAAACATACTTTCGCTTTGTAGATCCTTTGGGAACTCCAGCATCGGAAATTCTATTTGACATAATCGAAAGTTCAAGCTTACTTGTATAAAATTGCTCTAACAGTCTGCAAAAAATAATAAGCCGGATCCAGTTCGAAGATTAAGGAACAACGCAATCTGCAACATTAACTGAAATAGATAATTAGATAATTTTAGTTTATACCGTCCGTTATACATTAAACGCGCATACGTAAACGTATTATGTGCTTGCGCACACACATATGCGCAGCCGTAAAGGTCTTATGCGTGAACGCCTATGCGTTGACGCATGCACAGAAAGTTTGTAGCTTTGAGGTCCAGATTATAGATTATTCTGGATCATGGGTGTCCGAATTAACGACTTTTGACTGTACTATTTTGAAGGCTATTTTTTCTCATAATTTAATGCTATCAAAATAGCAGTCATCTAACTTGATAACATTAAACAACAGGTACTGTATTCTGTATGTTTGGGATTAAAGAATAGCTGATTGAGGCCATTTTCCAGTGCTAATTTTGGAGGAGCTTCACTTGCTAGGATTAATCAACTATAAATCATTGACTTGTTTGCATACCTCCTTTCTATTTCAAATAAATTGCTGTAACTTTTTAATCCAAATAGCATTCGTGTTCAATAGATTGAGAAGATGCTGTTACTCTTTATATAATCAATTGCCAGTTATTTTATATCTTTTTTGTATTTAATATTGTATTATATCTTCTTTTGGTAGACATTTACAACTTGTATATCCTTGAGTGCAATTGCAACAAATGGCATTGTCCCAGGTAAATAATGCATTAATTTTTTTTACATTTTTCTCCAGTTATTTATGTATATTTGCGTGTCATATTTGCTAACTTTTTCAAAACTCTGTCATATGAACTTTTTGTTTTCATAAATATGTATAAGAATTAATAAAAGTAGCCTATTAATTGTGTGGATATTAACAAAAGATATGTAAGTGGTTTAAAATTTTATTGATCTTCTTTAATAGTTTTTTTTTAATATAAATGAGAAATGTTTCAGTGTGTAGGGGAATGATTTCTAATTTTTTTATTTGAAATTCTTTATGCATTTTTGTATACTTAATGTATTATATTTAATTGCTCTGTTGCATAATGTTAATTGCTCTGTTGTAATCATTACCTAATGTACTTAACCTGCATTGATCCTAGTTAATTCTTTTTTTAAACTGTAACATATAAAAAATTGCATTCCATCTTGATGTTAGTAGTAACAAACATTTCACTTTGTTATGGATTCTAAATTGTTCTCAAGCTTTATTTTTGTTGCAGAAATATTGTCGTATTGAGGTAAAGAAGAGACCATTCAAATCATTGGTACTTGGTCTCTTACAAATGACAGCTTTGACTTCAGATACAAATATCTAAGCATTTTTTGCAACATAACAGGATATTGAAACAAAATAAAATACATGGTTGCATGCTTAAAAATTTCTAAGGTTGGAGCTTTTGCAGGTAGCCACTCTGCTTTGTCATCTGGAATCTGAATGAATGGTTAGATAAGGTTGTTCATGGTGTTAAAAAATATTTACTTTCAACCCCTGCCCCCATTTTCCAACTAATTTTACTGCTAGAAAACCAAGAGAAGGAAACTTATGCAGTTGAGATGGCTTAAATAATAAATGTAACACATCAAAAGTTCACATAAAGAAAGGTACACTAATATGATTATATTATGCATACCAAAAGATAAATTTTTAATATTTTTTTAATTTACACAGGATAATATTTTATAATTATCATAAATTTCAATCATATTCTTTTTATTTACATAAAATGCTCTTCTGTTCATGCATACATTTCACATTATTACCGCAAATAAAAAATATCTAAATTGTATGCTGAAAAAACTGAGTATGTGAGTAACTTTGTTACTAAAAATAGCTGTCCCATTTAACTCGGGCATGCAGGTTCTGCTGTAAGTTAATATTTTGTATATATATATATAATCTTTCATTTCCCTTTTATAAAAATATTTCTTTTTTCTATTGTTTTAGCGGGTGGTTCATACTTTATGATATCCCGTTCCTTGGGACCTGAATTTGGTGGAGCAGTAGGTATTTTATTCTACTTAGCCACTTCAGTAGCTGCTGCTATGTACATCACTGGGGCAGTTGAAATTTTTTTGGTAAGTTAGTTCTGTAAAAATTTGGCTATGAAAATAGATCATAAAATTTCTGTGTTGTATATTTAAAATTAAAAACTAAGTAGGTAATACAGAGGCTGTTTACATATTTTCTAAACTATCTTCATTGTATTGACAGAAATATTTTACTTTAAATTTTTGTGTTTTAAATGTTCTATATGATAACATTTATTCTTTCCAAAGTCCAAGGAGGGTTGTAAGTCGTTTGGACAGTCCGCTTTTTAAAAGTCCAAAAATCCAAGGATGATACATCAGAATATTTAATAGGGATGTAAGTGAAGGGGTATGGATTTCATACCCATTTCTTGTTCTATTTCTCTCTGCAAATTAACAATGGATTTTGTGTTGAATCACTATAAACGGCGAATAACTTTTCAAACTGTTGCTACCAAATGTTAGAGTCCTGCATTTTATTTGAAGAAATTAAATAATGAAAAATCTGCATAAAAGTATTTATATTTCTCGCATTGTGATAAAACAGCGATACATAGATCCATCAAATTTTGAATGACGTAATCCTCCTACGAATACGGCATGTGGAAGACCAAATTAGAAATTTGGTATTTGTTTTATTATTGATTTCATATTTTGTAAAACTTTAACAAATTTTTGAGTAACAAACTCAACAATTTAAAAGCGAGCAATGCCAACACTCTACGGGGGAAGGCCTTTTTATCTCCAGGGCGCAGAACTGTGTATCAGAAATTCTAAAGGTATGCTCATTTTAAAATTATTTTGCTACATTTCTATTGAAGTGAGTTTTATGGTTCAAGTGCAAGGAACATGATATTTAATAAATAAAGGTAACACACAAAATGTAAAAGAAAGACCCTTTGGACGTAATTTAAAATTGGAAACCTTTCAGTTTTTTTTTTTTTTTTTTTTTTTTTTCCTTTTTAAGGTTCAAATCAACATTAATCGCTCTGAAAACAGAAGAGAAACATAAACTTGGTAATGCAACATTCTTGTGTTTGTCGTAGATTTAGTCAAGATCTCTATATATTTTGAGGGCAAATGGGTAGAGCTCCCTTTGTCAGAAGCTAAAAAATCTGCAAGATGTTGACTACTTTACGTTATTAATTTTATAAATCACTTTGTTTACATTTGACACTGAGCATCCTAATGATTTTGCATTTTTTTCTCCTCTTTTTTACTTGGCAGATTGTCTTTTAACCATAAAGATCTTATCTTCGCAACATTCGAAACGTTCCATTTTTTCCTTAGGATATATATGGGAAGAGTTTTTATACTTAAAGCCAAACTTTGAAATTTTTTCCTTTCCTTTTTGATAATATTATCTATTGTAACTTTGTATATCGAAAAACCGTGTATGTAACAACTAGATATGAATAATTTTCTTCAGAAAGAACACAAATACACTCTTCCATCCAGTGCTTCTTTAAAAATGCCATTTTGCATGAAAACAAAATTGTCAAGTATCAGATGATATGAAAAATATAATTGCAGTTCAGAAAAATTTTTGAAACGGACAATATTTTTTATATTTATGCAGCATTTTTTTATATTTTATTATGTCGGTCAAGTAAAATTGTCTAAAAAATGTGTGAACAGTCTCTGTATTATGATCCTTAATTTATGCTAAAAAAGTAAGTTTCAGTTTTTGATTTTTTCCTTTAAATAATATAAATGATAATTGTGCAATATAGTTTGAAGTGTACATAATAATTAGCTTTGGTACTTATGTTAAACTGATATTGCAGATAAATTTTGAGATTGCTTGCCATTGTCAATCTGAATAACTATGTCACACTTTTATTGCAAACTTTTTAAGACCCTGTATAGTAAATTATCCATATTCAGATTTGCCATGTGCTTTCGCTTATGAAATTAGTAACAAATATCTGTATGTGTTTTGTAAACTACTGATTCATTGGAAATATCAAATTTGAGGCTTGGTGGTGCAATACGTCTTTGCAATTAATTTTCATAGTCTTTCTTGTATAAATACGATTTATTGCAATTAATCCAATAACCAGAGTGAAGACATCTGATTTTTCTCAAGTGGTTGCATGCTGCTGATCATTGGAAAGTGCATAAGATCTTTTCTAAATAATATGTGTATCATCAATGATAGAATTTTATGGAAATATAATATTGGTAAATGTTGACAAACTTTGAGACTGTGAGATATTGGTTTGAAGGAAATTCATACTGTTAATTTATTTCTAATGTTAGAACCTGATTTTTCTAAGTCCAGTGACAAATTAAAAATTTCAGGTAAAGCTGTAGTAGGTTGGAATAATTGAACCTTTTTTTATTATAGGATAGCATTTGCTAAATATCTTTTAGAAATATATATGCCACAACTCTACACTTGTTTCTTATTTACATGCGAGTTCATGTTTAGACTTTAAAATAATGGTGAAAGCTCATCTCAACAGAATCAAACTCACATTGTTGACTGTTAGCCAATATACACTCATGTCCATAAATTAAGCATAATGCAAAATCAGGCAAAGGAAGAGTTAAAAGCAAAACAAATTTGACTTATTTGTAAAGCTTATTTATTAAACAAAAGGTAAAGAGCAAAAAAGATGCTATGTGTTTAATATTATTTAAAAAAATAGCTATTTTTTCTCTCTGGAACAAATTTTAAAAAATAAATAAATAAAAATAAAATAAAACTATTTACAGAAAACCAATATTACATGGTTGGTATGATTGTTAATACATTGTATGTCTCCCAGACGATGCAATACAGTCCGTACAACGCCTAGGCATGCTGAGTATCAAATTATCGATCTGATCTTGGAGATATTACACCACTCAAAAAGCAATACTCTCCGGTAGACATAGGAGGAGGTTGACAGGCTACAACTCTTCGGCCAATCATGTCCCACACGTGCTCTACTGGATTCAAGTCCGGTGAGAATTCTGGCAAGTCCATACGGGTGATATCCTGCGATTGAAGGCATTCGCTTACGATGTTTGCGCGGTGAGGACGGGCGTTATGCAATACAGTCCGTACAACGCCTAGGCATGCTGGGTATCAAATTATCGATCTGATCTTGGGGGATATTACACTGCTCAAAAAGCAATGCTCTCCGAAGTTCCGGTAGACATGTAGGAGGAGGTTGACAGCCTGCAACTCGTCGGCTAATCATGTCCCACATGTGCTCTACTGGATTCAAGTCCGGTGAGAATTCTGGCCAGTCGATACGGGTGATATCCTCTGATTGAAGGCATTCGCTTACGATGTTTGCGCGGTGAGGACGGGCGTTGTCATCCATAAACACAAATGTACATGTTGTTCCAGAATGACGTCCCGATAGATTTGGCTTTCATGGTTCCAATTTGAACATGCAGGTCAGTTCTGGAACCCAGAATAATTCAACCTCAAACGAGCACTCCTGCACCACTGTAACGGTGTTGTTCAATGATGTTTTCTTGGTGGTAACGGGTACCTGGAGCTCTCCATATGAAAGTCCGGCAAGAATCAGACTGCAAGCTAAACCTGGACTTTTCGGAAAAACATCACACAAGCCCACTGTTACTGTGTCCACAATTCATGCTCTCTACTCCAGGCTAACCGCAGGCGACAGTAAGTTGCAGTAAGTGGAATGCATCTGACAGGTCTACGAGGATATAGACCAATCTACCCTAAGTGTCTGTACACGGTCAGCCTTGAAGTTGTCCTACCAGTGGCTGAAGAGAGCTGACGAGACAGGTCTGAGGCTGTGCAAAACCTGTTTCTTTTGGCAGTAACTGCCAAATACCGGTCCTCATTCGGTGTTGTAACTCTGGGGCGACCTGTGCTGTAACGTCTACTCACGTTACCATCATCTTGGAATCGTTGCCAAAGCCTGGAGATGACACTTTGGGCAATTCCAAGTTCGTTTGATACTTCCAGTTGGGTACGCCCAAATTACAGACAGCCGATAATTCTACCACATAAAAAATCCTCCAAATGCGTCCTTTGTGTCATAACTATTCTTTTATTGCACTGAAATGCTTATAAAATGCCTGCAAACAATTTTATTTCTTTGCCTGTATTCCTTATATATCATTCTCTTACACTCTCGTCATTGTGGCATACCATCGGTGTCATCTGGTTACTTCCTGAAATTTGCATATGATTCTTGAAGATATGTGTAGTGATTTTACAGATGATATATATATTTTAGAGTTCGGTTTCTGTGTGACTCCGAATTATCCTTAATTTATGGACATGAGTGTATTAATTTAGATGTGTTGAATGGAATGTGTCTTTTAATAGAATGTTTTATTTTTAAGTATATTTTGTCACTAAAATAATTTTAAAGTGTCTCATTCAATTTTAGATCTTTGTTTGCTAAAATAACTAGCCTAAGTAGACTCATATTTCATAGCTAAATTTTTGTATTAATTTTTTTTTTATTTAAAAAAAAAAAAAACAACGAAGAAGATCCATGTAATCTATTAAAAATGTGCATATTGAAAATGGACTCAGAAAAATTCATGGAGAAGAAGGAAGGAGTGGCCAATCCGGCATTAGAAGTGAAGCATCGGTCACCAGATGGGGTGTTTTTTGTTTACATTCAGAAGCTCATTTAACAGCGCTCTGATAGTATTTCGACACACAACAATTCCATACAAATCGAAAAACAGGACACTTCTGCATAAAAGAAAAATTCCTAGTGTGATGGATAATAGCAATTTGTATAGTTTAGTTACATTTACGCAAAAATCACATCTTGGTTATTTTTTGATAACTAACAACAGCGATTTGGATTATGAATTTGTTTTATAAAATTCTAAGCTATTGAACTACAAAAATATAGATTTTAGCAAAAAAGTTATGCTTAAAGAATGAAAAATACCTTACCGTACCTTTAAAATTGTATATATCTTTTGATACCCTTGATAGAGTATTTGCTGCTTTTATTTTATGTTCCAAACGCCAAAATGTTTTAAATAAAATTAATTTTTTTCACATCCACATATTATTGTAACATGTACTTTTTTAAAATTAATGTAAATTACTTTACTCGAAAAATATAGTGAATGCAAAGAAATTAAAGATTTCCACATACCGGAACTGAAAAATGGTATTTATGCATGTCCTAGCAAAAAGCATGTATCTGCCTTTAACAAAATACGTAAATATTTATTAAATTATTTATAAATGTATTTGAAATGAAGGATTTATTCATTCATAAACAACTGTGATAAAGTAAATATTATTAAATTATTTATAAATGTATTTGAAATGAAGGATTTATTCATTCATAAACAACTGTGAAAAAATCTAATTATTAAATGTATCTAAATTTATAATGATTATAAATATTATCTAAATATAATAATAACCTTAATATTGAATTGTAAACATAAATTGACATCCTGTTGACAAATACGTTATAAAACTATTTAAGCAAGAATTGTTCGTACTGGAAAGCAATCTGTTAAAAGGTATTCTAAAGCAATTTCTATGAGATGCGAGAAAGTAATAAAGAAGAGTTTTTGAATATATATTGTTGAAATTAAGGGTGAAAAGAATCTGATAAGTATAATTAAAGGAATTATTCCCCTTACATTTTATAATAACTCAGTTACAAGTTTTAAAAATATATAATTAAAAAATAATCATTATTTATTCTCTTTCAGAATATTCAGAGAAGTTAAGTACTATATTAAATTTAAAGCATTTCACTAATTAAATAAAAATGCTCTAAATGGAATGCGAAGTTATAGAGCATTAATATAAACTGAGTTATAGTTTTCGATTTAAAGATGCCTCAGAAACTAAAAAATCATATATCATATGTGAAAAAGTATTTTAGGAAGAAGCTCTATAAATAGAAAAGAAATAATGCATACTTTTAATAATACAATAAACTTTGATCTTAATTTTTGTAAACCCTAACCGAATCAAGTCTAATTACCTTAATTTTTTTTTCTGATGTAATTAACTAAAACTTGTGAAAATATTTTTAATTAAACCATTCTGAGCAAATTGTTCTGTGAAAAGTGTAGCATTTAATTCCGTTCAGAATGAAATGTTTTTAAACCTGTATTCTTTTCATATACTTAGGACTCTGAAGTATTCTAGAAAAAGAAAATATATGCATTTATATGCATATTTACGATGTAATTACAAAATATTTACATCCGATCGTGTCAAAACCCATTGAACTCATTGGTAAATTACCCAATGTTTTAGTCACCAAAGAAGGGATCGCCAGTGCTTCAAAGTAGGGTATGGGGAAACTGGTTTAGGGCCACTCCATCTAACTTCCTACCTCCATAGAAAAATTGCGGGGGGGGGGTAGAAAAGGTTCTTTATTCCTTGAATATTGCAGTCTGTGTCCAGAAAGTGTTGCTAATGAAAGTGAGATGGCCTGATTGCTGAAAAAAGCCAAACAGTATCACTTGAAGAGTTTTAATAATTTATTATTGTTTTAATAATTTTTCTAAAGCAGAAGAGAATTTGTAAATATATTTTTTATACTTAGAAAATTTTTATTTTTCCCACCTTGTTGTTCTGTAATGGAAAGGATACCAGTAATTGTTTATAAAAAATATTCGTGCTATATGTATCAAGATCTGTGATCAGAAAATGCTCGTGTTGCTAAACAAAGCCAAAAACATTGTAGCTGAAGTAAGCTAAATGTTACCCACCAAATTTTTGATTATTTGTTATTGCACATTTTGATTATTCACCTACATATCAGGCCTTTTATAATTTTTATTTTATTTTTTATTTTAGAATTATATGGCACCAAGTCTGTCACTGTTTGGAGACATAAGTGATCCATTTATCATGTCCAACAATTTTCGAATTTATGGTACAGTACTACTAATTATTGTTGGTACCATTGTTTTTATTGGTGTTAAATTTGTGAGCAAATTTGCACCTGTTGCGCTTTTCTGTGTCATCATATCTCTGATTGCTGTGTATGTTGGGGTATTTGTCAACTTTTATGGAAAAGAAGATACAAAGTAAGTTTGAATTGTATTTATTTTTTAGTAAATTAATTGGAGGCAAATTTATGTGTATAAAATAGACTCTGTGCATTTAGATTACAACATGAATCTGATTTGCATAGAGCAAGCATTTAAGCCAGAGGGAATTCCCTCCAGGTTGGTTTTTATCGTTTCAGGGGAGAATGTGATCAGCCATTTATTTATTTATAAAGTATAGGTTATGAATATTAAAAAAAAACTATTGTAATTTCCGGAAGAAAGGCTGCACATCAGTGTAAGTACCGTACTTGAGAAAAATGGCGGAAAAAAAATTAAAATATGCAGAAACGCTGAAATAGATTAAATCGCGCATGACATCGTCGTGGACCATATAGATGCAAAATCTTGACCTGTGTCCTCATACATGACACATTAGTTAAGAAAAATGCATGTCATGAAACTGTAACTCAAAAATAAGGTAAGAAATGTTGAAAATATATTTACGTTCACAAATATACGTATATTTACCCACTAAATAAGTCCATATTTGTCATACTCATATTATAAAAAAGTTGCAACAAAGAGATATTAAATTTGGATGACAAAAGAAAAATTTAAATTTTACTTACAAAGGAATTGCAGCAAACTGTACATCAAATGAAGTCATCAAAATCTGATTCTTTACTATCTGAATTAAAAAGATTAATAAATCCTGATCCAAGTCTTCCAGATCGTCACATTTATCATCTTGGTTATTTGAGGATATAATTTCAGCTTCTTTTAATGCTGCTGTTATTGACGATGTTTTTACTGATTTCCCCCGCACTTCCTACCCACTTTGCAACTTCTTCATAAGATGCTGTACGTATTTTGCTGCTTTTGGATACGTATGCAATCCTTCACTCATGCAACACTCCCACCGTTTTCAGACTTCAGCTTTGAAGGATTTATTATCTGACAAATCTAATGGTTGTAAGATTTTTGTCAAATCGCCAGGAGTTATTGCTATGGTCGTAGACAGTTTTTGACATCTGGTTTTCACTGACTCAAGTAAATGAGCATGCATGGAATCCATTATTAATAACCCTTTTGGTTGCATAAAAGATCCCTTTTGACACTGCCAAATTTTTTGTAGCCACTCATGCATGATTGTTTCGCACATCCATCCATTCCCGTTTGCACAAATAATTACGTCATTAGAAAAATCTCCCTTCAGAATAGTTTTTCTTTTAAAAATGATCATCAGCTTTAGCTTGTCACCGTTTGTGGTACAAGCTAACACTCATGTAAATGATGTTCTTTCATGCCCTGTCGTAAGCACAGATACAATTTTTGCACCAGTTTCATCAACAGTTTTGTTTGCAGGAGAGTCAAAAACTAACGCTGTTTCATCCACATTTATCTGTGATGGAAGAATTTTTTTTTGGTCAATAATAATATCTGTCACATATTTTAAAAAAGATGCCTTTTTATCCTGCCAGTCCATTGGTAATTGTTGCCCAACTGTTGTTCTAGTATGCACAGAAATATTTTTTCTTTTCATAAATCTGCTACACCAGCAAGGTCCTCCTTTGAAGTCATTTATGTTCATTTGTTTTGCCATAAATTTTGCTTATAAGCAAATTTTTACAGTTGAAATTGCCATTCCCTTTCCTCGTTGTTCCTTTATCCAGTTTGCAGTGTTGTCCTCTAGATTCGGCCTCCTTACAGTACCACTTCTTTTGGCTCTTTTCTGTCGCGGCAAATTTTTAAGTTCTTCTTTTTCAGTTTTCCAATGTCAAATGCATCTCTCATCCACTTCAAACTCCCGAGCTGCTGCTCTATTTCCAATTTGTTCAGCACAGGAAATTACATTAAGCTTAAAACCAACAGTATAGCTTCTGTGCTGTTTAGGTGCCATTTTCAAAAATTTTCCGCTCTGTTCTTGCTTAAAAACTATCCAACAAGTACTTGTACTCAAACTGATGGGATCTGTATCTGGCAGAATGCCAAGAAAAATCGATTCGTGCTGAAGGGGAAATACACCAGAATTCGTTATTGCAATGCAGGTGGTGTCCGCCTTTGAAAAAAATTGCACTAGATTTAAAATGGAAAAGGCAGGGGTGGGAAGAGGATGGGTCCTGGAAGATTCATCGAATGGCAGAGAAGAGAGACTTCAAACTGATGAGAATGCTGATTTGAAACAGGGAAGAATGTTATTGTTCTGAGATCCCGTTTAGGGTGAATAGGCACGTAGGTCTGTTCAAGGGAAAGAATGTAAACAAAATAAAGTTCGCAGAAAGCAACTGAGTGGTCTTTTGTGTGGGAACAACGCCAGTCTATGTACAATGACAAGGTCATCCAAACTATGCACATTAACAAGGTCATTCAAACTATGCACAATGACATCATAGGAAATATTTTTTAGTGCATTTTAAGTGCCGCATGGGTAGAAACGCCGCACCCGCTGAAAATTTTAAGTTTTAAACATGTAAACTCCACGTCGTTTCTTCTGGAAATGATGGTAGTTTTATTCAAGTTTTTGTATTGATCATAGCCCTTTCTATATATATATATATATATATATATATTACTATCTCTTCCAATAGTAGGACCTCGAGATCTATTTCTTCATTTTCTGTGGCTAGTTTGGCTTCTTGATCTGCTCTTTCATTATCCTTTGTGCCCTCATGCACTTGAGATCTTTGCACTGTTTAAACTGTAAAGCATGCTCTGACTATCTGTGAAGATTTTAACAGAAGTGGTGGGCCATATATTGTGGCCTATCTGTAGAATTGGGTGTTTTATGGCTTGAAACTTTGCATGAAATATTGTCACTTCATTGTTCAATTTTAATTGATGTTTGAATATTCACTTTGATTGTTTTATAACAAAAGGTGCTCCTACTTTGTCATTTATTTTGAAACTGTCAGAGAACACTTCTATTTCTTTATTATTTGGGATATTTTTCCTCATTTAATTTCTTCTATCAGGGCTGGGTGTTTTAAAATTGTGAGAAGTTTGTGTGGAATTGTGGGAAGTTACCTCCTCATGTCATATCATTACATCCTGTAGGGATATGTTTTCCTTGAAATGAAAGATTTTGTAAGTCTTGAGATTCCATATCAGCTTTTAGGTAAATTCTTTGCATCTGCTTAAGTTTAACTTTCATTCTTTTGATCCTCGTATACCAGACTGGGCACCCATATAGAATCATCTTTTCTATTGCTTTTAAGTAAAGCACTTTTAATAATTTTCCTTTGAGGTTCCAATTATGTATTCTGTTTAGATTGGTACCAATTTTAAGGTACTCTTTTTTTTTTTTTTTTTTTTTTTGTTGTTGTTTTTTGTTGTTTCACTTAAATGTGGGATCCATGTTAGTTTTCAATCTAGGACAAATGCTAGGTATTTGATTCACTCGCATCTCAGGGTGATCACCATTTTATTCTAGGTGGTGATTTTTGTAACTTGTTGCCTGTTGCAAAGAGAATTAGCTTTGTCTTTTGCACACTAATCTTTAATTTATATTTTAAGCTCCACTGATATATTTTTATCAAGGGCTCTGTGTGCTTTTTCTTCTAATCTATTACCACCAACTATTATTATTATGAAATTATTGGCATATGCCTTATTGTGGCATCTTCTTCAAATTCAGTATTAAGAAGAGTCCGCCAAGATGTTGCATAGAATTGGACCCAAGTTTGACCTTTGAGGGGCCCCTTTGTGATACTTATGGAAGATTTCTACTCCATCCCTGTTATAATAGATGCCTCTATCACTAAGATAGCTTTTGATTAGTTAAGTTCTTTGGGCACTTGACTTCTACATGTATCGCAAGATCTCAGACCACCACAGTCTGTTATATGTGGATGCCATATCCAGGGGATATTACACAGGTGTTTAAATTGCTCTTCCTGTTGTCCTGAATTTGTCTTGTTAGGTTTCTAAAGTTTCTGTGGTGATTCTATGTAGGGTAAACCGAAATTGTTTGTTGTTTAGGATCTTCTTTATGATGAAGAAATATGTCAGTCTTTTTTATATCAATTTATCCAGAACTTTCCTCCATGCCAATAAGAGACATATTGGTCTATAGGCACCCGGGTAGGTTTTTGTCTTTATGGAAGAAGACTAGGTTATCCACTTTGCACTGTTTCAGGAAGTAACATGTATTTAGCCATTCATTTAACAGTTTTACAAATAAGTTTTCATTTTCTGTAAATTGCTCTTCTACTGTTTCTATGGAAAGTTTGTCCTTTCCTGAAGGCGTTCCTTTTTTGTTGATTTAAATAATTTGCTTTAATTCCTCCTTGGAAAAATTAGTCATTTTCTGTGTTTGGGGAGGGGGTGCTTTGCTTTTGTTCTAATTTCTTTGTTCTTCATTATCTTCCTCAGAATTATCCTGCAGAAAATGGGATTAAATTATGAACTTTATTGTATCTTCTATACTTGACGTCCAGTCATTATTTCCTTTTTTTAATTCTACAGATTTTAAGTGGATTATAAGCTTTGCCTTTCAGTATGTCAAAATGTGTTCCGAAAGGAGAGTTTATCTGTAAGCTATCCCAAAAGTTCTCCCAGGATACTAGTTTAGCTTCAGATATTTGCTGTTTGTGTTTAGCCACTTATTTACAAATGTATATTAAATTCTTTCTTTTTGAGAGCTTGCATAGCTTCCCTCTTGAGTGTTGGTACTCCATCCTTAGTTTTCTTATTATTTTGCACTGTTCTGTTAGGCACCTTAACCACCAGGTTTTGATTTTCTTTGTATAGGGGGAGAATCTTTTGCTCTTTTTATTGAGGGTTTTATATGTATGCCGATTTTAATTGGTCTGAGATTTCTTGGATGTTTTTATCAATGTCCTCTTTATCTCTAATTTTGTATTTTTCTACAAAAATTTTGCTAATTGCCATTTTCAAGTTAAGCCATTATGTATTTAGAAGTTTCATTCTTAGGTCTTTTATAACATTTTCTAATTTTAAGTTAATTTCTAGATTTATGGGTTTGTGATCACTTAAGGTTTCTCTCTTGTATATTTCTTAGTTAGTTTTCCTTAGGG